GTTTATGCTGACTGTATTTGAGTGCAATGCAAAATGTAGAGGAGATAAATTTTATTTGTACATAAAAATTCTGTTATATGATAAAGTAAAAGTATAAGAAATAATTTTGCATTTTCATTTATTTAAGTGTGGGAGAGCCATGCTTCGGCACGAATGGGCCGGCTCGACCAAAGTGATACCACGGCCGAGCAGAAAACTGACGTGAAACAACGCTTGCGTTGTTTCGTCGTGTGAGTGAGGTTACCGGAGGCCCAATTACCCAACTCCCTATTCTCCCGAATCCTCCACCCCGAACACTCTTCTAATTCCCAATTCCCAAAAGGTCGGTAACGCTCTTGTAACGCCTTGGTGTTCCAGATGTCCATGGGCAGCGCCGATTGCTTACCATCAGGTGATCCGTCAGCTCGTTTACCGGCTTATGCTATAAAAAAATACAAAAATCTTCAACGGTTCGTTAAGATCTACTATTGGACTATAAACCTTCTTTACACGGGTCTTATTAGAGCCTCCATGATGTGCCAGGATGTTGAAAATATCAGTTTAAAAGGTTCAGGTTTATAAGAGTTCGCTATTGCTATATACCAACTCCATCTCGATTGTAGAAATTAGAACTAAATTGAAACACGCTGAAATTACACGTAAACTTTTGTGCCTTCTGCATTTTTATTCACAGAAGTTTCCAGGCGACTTTTAAACTTGTTAGAGTAATGGTCTTTCATTAAAATTTCAAATATTAGTGTCTAAGTTTTCTATGCTTGTGTAAGTTTATACTGTATTTTGCACTTGCAATTTATCTCGCATACTACCCTGATGGGCCCATAAAGAGAATTTTAAAGTAAAATAAATACTGATTAGAACTCTCTTGGGCACATTCTCTTGCATAAATCTCCGTTTTATCGTGTGAAGTTTTCGAAATGTTGTTTCAAAGTTTTTTAATAGTTTTCTAGTATACAGTGAAGATTGTAACACTGATATTTGTATTTTTCTGTAAATTATACACATAAAACATATCCCTTTCAATTGTTCAATCATCAAGAGCCTATATATTTCTAAATGCTTACTGCTGAGCAAAGCCTCTACTCATACGGAGAAGGTATGAGCATTAATCACCACGCTTGGTCAATGCGATTTGGTTATAAGCCCAGGTTTCCTCACGATGTTTACCTTCACCGTTTGTCAGTGGCGTCTAGATAATCTTAGAAAGTACATATAACTCGGAAAAAGTCACATTGGTACTTGCCGTTGGTAGGTTTCGAATCCGCACCCTCATGTATGAGAAGCGGGCGTCATATACCTCCGGGCCACCACGACATTAATCAATGCCTAAATTTCACCGAATTTATCCTTTGGTAGAAGTGTTCTTTATCGGCTTGACCGGAGTTACACCATGACCTCTCAGAGGACAGCAAAGCATTAGCAACTCTTCTGGTCTTACAGGTGTAACATTCATGTTTTTGATACATCATGAGTGTCATGCATTTTTATCATAAGATAGGTATGAGTGTGGTATACTAACGGATCTCTATTGCATAGTACAAAGATCTCATCTTACTTTATGTTACTAGCAGACCAAAAGCAGATGTTAGAAGCCATTCCGAATCTCAATATCTTACGGTAATCGTATTAAAGTTCAATTTGAGACCCTTTCTGTCGCCGGGGAAATCTTGGAACGTCGTATAGAAATCATTTATATGACGCTGGCATAGAAGTAACAAAACCTGAGTTTTATGACAGACCTTTGACAGTTTTCGGGACATTTTATGTGTACATAGCCACATAGGGTCCTATGTGGCTATGTCCTGGTGCCTTTAAGGTAATTGTGTTTAGGTAATATTGGGAGTGGAGTTACTTGGGAAGCCATTTCGGATAGTACTATCTGCTATCTACGTTGATGATTAATATTATGATGAGTTTTGCGTGATTAAAGTCCGATCAGTGATCTTCAGCTATTATGTAAGTTTATTTCGGAGTACGGAGAGTAATATACCTATCTCTATATAAGTATACAATATCTCAGGTAAATGACGATGACTAATTTTATTTGAATGTCCGTCTGGTAGATTATTTAAAAACATTAGACACGTATTTTTTATTTTCTTACTGGAATAAATCATTTTGACGATATAATATATCGATTTGAAATATCGCGTTACGTCACTTTTACCTACATTTTATACTCAAAAATGACGTACATAGATAGATAATCCTATAAACTTTGTTTCGTTTCTAAGTATTGTTTTTTTATACGACTAAATAAAGAAATACGTGTCTAATATTTTTTCATTACCTTACTGACGGACTAATTAGATTTTTGATATCAATACTCAGTCATCATCCCTATTGGTATCGCTTGATGTAAGTCGTTTTTAACTAATAGTCATTGAAAGAGGTCTTAGTTCAGTTATGAGAATCATGTATTGGAATATCTGAAAGGTAAGCAGTTATGTTATAATACATACCACATCCAGTATTTTATGTTTTCAGCTAACGAAGCGGTCTATCTATTTGTTGTTTAGTGCCACATCAAAATATCAAAAGGTCGTAAATACAGACTCAAATTGTATCCAATTAACCTGGATGTCTAGGCAAAGTTTATGTGAAAGCCTGGCCTAGTGGATGATCCTCGGAGTTTAAATTAACTTCCAAGTTTAAGCAAACTGAGTTAACTAAACTGTAACTGAACCAACGGTTATTTGATAAACTAGAAAGTAATTAGGAATCTATACTACAAGATGTAGGTACTGAAATAATAGTAATATGTTGTTTGGGTTGTTAGGATTAAAAGTGACCATGGAGATTCTTGTTAGATTTTTTTACGAGAACCTCAAGATGTATGAAAGAAGAAAGAAAGAAAGAAAGAAAAAGCATTTATTTGGCAAATGACACACAAACAAAGATTATGAAAAAGAAAAATACAGATATTTACATAAATACATAATATTAATAACAAACTTAAAGCGTAAAGAAAATAACAAAAATCATCAAAATATAAGAAAATAATGTATATCGAGTTATGAAACCAAATATTTCGGTTAGGTTGGTAAAAGTGTAATTGTGATTCACCCTATTTTTATGAGCCGGTATAAGCCGGTAAACGAGCAGACGGATCACCTGATGGTAAGTAATCGGCATCGCCCATAGACACCTGGAACACCAGAGGCGTTACAAGTGCGTTACCGGTCTTTTGGGTTCCTTACTGATGAACCTGAGTTCTTTAATCGATCTTTACTATATAAATCCAGGTTTACGAACGATTTTTTTGTATTGTTCTTTTTATTAAGGCACTGACTTTGATTAGGTTTGATCCAATTGAACCTATACCAAGTTAGTAAAAAACTAATCATTTTTAAAACAATACATAGAAGTCTGGAAGTTAAGTTTACGCTAAGTTAAGTCAACGTTTCTAATAGCTAGTAATACTTTAACGACAACGGGACAAGGCAACGATATAACTGAAAAACACTACATATTCTTTATAACACAAAAAAAACATAACATCAACATCCTCGAAGGGGTAGGCAGAGGTGCACATTATACCACTGTACAATGTAACACCCACTTTTCACTATTTATGTTATGAGTCCCATGTAATAGGGGGTGAGCCTATTGCCATATACCGGGCACAGTTCCAGACTCCGTGCTACTACTGGGAATTTTTTTTTAAATCCAGTAATACTTTGCCCGACCCGGGAATCGAACCCGAGACCCCTTACCCGGCAGTCGCAATTGCGACCACTCGGCCAACGAGGCAGTCAGGCATATTCTTTATAATTCCAGCTAAATAATGATTCTTTTACTGTAAAAAGCCTTATATAATAACATCCAGGCTTTCATTGTAATATTTTCTGCAAACTCAATGACATTATTCGCTGAAACAGGAATGCTCCAATTTTCACTAACAAAGGGAGATACGTCAATACGTTAGGTGGTACAAATGGATTTATTTTAATAGATAGAGTCTATAATCCGTGGCGTTCTGCCAGGCTGTTGATTGAAAATCGTCGCTTCGATGCCCAAAAACTTGTATTTTCGATTTTTTATATAAAACTGTATGGTCCAGTGCCAAAACTGTGGTTTTTTGTTATTGAAAACAAGCGTGTGTTGAAGTGTTGTGTTGTTTTCGAATGGAATTGAATTGGTTTTGTATTTTGGAGTAGTGTTTTGTAGTGAAGTTATGTTTTTTAGTTGTTTTCTTTATGTTAGGGGCAACAATGTCAATAGGGTAGATGCCTAAATTTTATTTCAATGTTCGTCTGGTAGATTATTTTAAAACATTAGACACGTATTTTTAATTTTCTTACAGAAACGAATACTTTCGACGATATATTGATTTGAAATATCGCGTGACGCCACTTCTATGTACATTTTACACATAGAAATGACGTTTTAGCCTCCGCTCCCTAAACTGTGATTCGTTTTATCTAAGTATTTTTTTATTATACGACAAAATAAAAAAAAAATGTGTCTAATATTTTTTCATTACCTAACTTACGGACTAATTAGATTTTTATTTTCATACCCTGCTATCATCCCAATTGGATAGTTTCCTTAGTCAAAATAAATTATTTTGTCTTTCAAATACAACAAAATATTCAAAAGTAATCATTACTTTCATTCAGTGATATGATTATTATCATCTTCTCTTTTTCAATTTTTCTAGTTAATTTTAATTAAATAGGTCGATCGATCTAAATACAAAATTCATAGGAAAGTATTAAGTAAGTATGTGGATTTTTGACATTTCGATAAAAGCATTAAATTTGACTAGTTGTCAACTACTGTATTGAGACAGGTCTCAGTTTTAATGAAACAATTTGAAAATACCAAGATAACGTTTATTTGTTTCTAAGACAAGAAAATTGATAAACATTTTTTTAGAAGATTGTGTAATAGTGCTGAATTTAACTGCAAAAGGATAGATTTAAGTGTGACTAATAATATCTATTGCTGTTAGTGTAACGGGTGTATTTTCCTCCCACTCTTGATTAAGAAGCAATAGTTCAAATTGGAATATCATTAACATGCTTCATTTTGAAAATTACTCTGAAAAAAAATAGTAAGTATTTAAAAATATATTCGCTTTGTACTTATGCATGGGTGACGTCGTTCGCTTACCATTCATTAGGTGATCTGTCTGCTCACATAACATAACATTATGCCTCTTATCCCCGAAGGGGCAGGCAGACGTGCACATTACGGCACTTAATGCCACTGTACAATGTAACACCCAGTTATCACTATTTATGTTATGAGTCCCATGTAATAGGGGTGAGCATATTGCCATATACCGGGCACAATTCTAGACGCCGTGCTACTACAGACAATTAAAAAGAACTCAGTAATACTTTGCCCGACCCGGGAATCGAAATCGAACCCGCCTTGCCTGGCAGTCACACTTGCGACCACTCCGCCATTTATTCCTCATTCCATAGAAAGTCATAAGTAGGTGATCAAAAATCTCTTCTTCTAAAATACAAATTGAGTTCTTGACATAGGACTGATCCAGGATCACCGTAAAGAGAGTTCAACCAACCTTACCTTTCAACAAGCATGATGATAGTAGCCAATATATATCCTCCAGCAAGGAGTATGAACGCTGGTGCTGCTCCTCCTAATGCAAGGGGTCGAGGGGAACTGCCTTCACATTTGACTTCGAATGATGATCTTCTGATCTGAATGCAGGAGACTATGCCTTGCTCTGAGAGACGCATAAGGCTGAAAAGAGACGAAGAGATAGTACGAGTTCATGGGAACTGTTAAATTAGTGGAAGGATAGTGTATAGACAACTGTACAGGTTTAATTCTGTTTTATATACATAATTACTGTCGCGGTGCGCGTCAGCAGTTTTGTACGACTATTTAAACTGTATCATTAGCATTTTATATCACTGCACTTTATCATTTCGTATCAATAAGTATCAATATACTCTCGTCACAGAAGCTTGTGTTATTTAGTCATTTCTACACGGTCTTCGTGTCTATATCAACGAGAAGCTGTCAACATATCAACTATCATCCAAGTGTAGGTGCTTACAGCCTTTACAGATAGTTACAGAGTAAAAAAGGATTAATGTTGCATCTGAAGAAGGAACTGAAGAATGTCATAAATTAGTTTCATTAATTATTACTTACAATAAAATCAAAGTCAAAAAAAATTATTTCCATCAAACCATAATTTAGTACTTTTGAAACGTCAACATATACAAAATAATATTAGTCTATCGTACGTGAAGCTAGGTAGCAGTGAAGCTAGAATAAGTAAGAGCTTTTTCAAATAAGAATAAAAATAATAATGTAATATTCTTTTATAAACTACGTATAAAAAGACCGACGTCAAGCCCCATTTTTTGAAGTCAGTTAATTAATATACTAACTTCTACCAGGTGTATCGAACACATTTCTGAAAAGAGCATCAAAAGCAGTTCAGCAGATCGCGAGACAATCGCGCACAACCATACATACATACATACGGGTCAAACTGTTAATCTCCTTTTTCCTATTTGAAGTCGTTAAGTTAAAAATAAAAACATCGTCACGTGAATACAACTTTTACGCTACATTATCACGCTATTGGTGAAAGACAGACGAACTCTTGTAATAACTACTATATTATGAAGAGTAAAGTATGTCCCAAGTATACCTCCAAGTCATAAACTCCTTGTACGGACTATGTTTCTGTAGACATGGGTACAGCACCGTCTTCTCCATGGACTTGAGAGATCCTAGTTCACAAAGATCGCTTTGAGTAAATGTTCTGGATATCATAGCATTGGCGCTGTTTACTTCTGTATGGTAAGCGTAACCTGGAAGGATGTAGATTTACACTTGAATGCAAAATACAATCTGAAATAGGTTCTATTGGGATTTGATGTAAAAACTACTACTTTGTGTCTTTTCAAAAGTTCCGGTTGCCGGGTAGCCGGCGCCGGGTCCTGGGTGGCGAGTGTATACAAATTATGCCGGTACGTGTGAAAGCTACAGTACACTGCGCCGTCAGGTAGCCGGCGCCAGATATCCGGCAACCAGAACATGTGAAAAGGTACTAAAAGTGTTTGATCAGCACAGATAATTTTAGAACACCTGATTTTAGAAAAGTTATATCTGGCAAAATGAAACCTTGATCACAAAACACTTAGACATAAAATGTGTGTAACTCTATATCTATTCAAAATTGAACTCATTGACCCCATTGTTAATTTCGTGAAACAAAACGGACCATAGATTTTTGCAACTCTTTCACAAAAAAAAGTGATGAACCAGCTTTTCATAACATCCCAAACATTCTTACAGAAGTCACAGGTGCAAATACCCCAACTTTTTCCATACAGGACCTTCGTACAAATCTAATACCATAGAAAAACGATCCCCGTCGTAGTAAATTACGGCAATTTATAACGGAACTCCAATTTCGGAACCATGTGTATAAAAACGGTACCCAGCACTGAGTTGTGTGAGCATCGATCCTGCTACCCTTATGAGGCCCACGACGTAAGTACCTCACTCGATATTGTTTTTACTAACACTTTTTGGTAATAAATTATGACCATTTTTTTCTTCATTAGAGACCTATTGATTTAAGGTCTGGACTGCCTCGTTGGCCTCGGTCTCGGGTTCGATTCCGGGGTCGGGCTAAGTATTACTGGGTTTTAAAAAAATCTCAGTAGTAGCATGGAGTCTGGAATTGTGCCCGCCCGGTATATAGCAATAGGCTCACCCCCTATTACATGGGATTCGTAACATAAATAGTGAAAAGTGGGTGTTACATTGTACAGTGGCGTAATGTGCACCTCTGCCTAGTCTTTCGGGGATAAAAAGGCGTGATGTTATGTTATGTTGATTTAAGGTCTCTTTCTGTTAGTATACTGTAAGCTATCTCGTTTTTTAATGGCTTTGCAAGAATGAACCCAATCAGTTTTTTACCGACTTCAAAAAAAGGAGGAGGTACTATGTTCGGCTGATTGTTTTTTTTTTTTTTTTTTTGTTTGTTCGCGCAGTACTCCGCCGTTTGTGGACCGATTTCGAAAATTTTTGTTTTGTTTGAAAGGGTATACTCCCGAGATGGTCCCATTTCCATGAAGTCAGGATCTGATGATGGGATCCTAGGGAAACCGAGGGGAACTTTCGAAAATTCTATGGGGGAGTAATGCGTCTATTGTGTTTTTCAATTACGAATTTTAAACACTACAATTTGATAAGGGTCTGAAGTCGACCTGATGATGGAGTCGACAGACAATCGAGGGAACTCCTCAGCGGTTTATATTAACTACCTTGTGTTTGGGCTTGATTAATTTGTATTGATGAGGACTTTACACCTAGATAGAGTGGGGCTGTCATTAAGGGTCTGATGATGAAGAAGTGTAATTGTTAAGGGAACTCCTCAACGGTATACAGTAACTACCTTGAGTTTGGGCTTGATTAATTTGTATTAATGAGGACTTTGCACCTATGTATATTATAAGTAACAAAACTGGTATATGTAGCTTTACACTGAAAATGGAAAAATAATAAAATAAAAACTGCGTTTAAAAAACCGACTTCAAAAACCAAAAACTAATAACAAACAAAAAGTCAATACTAAAAAGCAAAAAATAACTATTATTAGTACTGATAGGTTACCCACCCACTGATAGGTTAGAAGTCGGTGCCATAAGCTCATATCATAATGATGTAACTTAATGTCCACAAAATTGTAAATTAGATACCTATTAAGGTTTTAATGAATAATTTTGTATGGAACTTATGGCACCGACTTCTTACCTATCAGTGGGTGGGTAACCTATCAGTACTAATAATAGTTATTTTTTGATTTTTAGTATTGACTTTTTGTTTGTTATTAGTTTTTGGTTTTTGAAGTCGGTTTTTTTATAGAAATTACTTCTAATCGGGAACAGTATATGGTTTTTCATTTAACTCGTCGAGTACCGGTTTTATAGACACAATTAAAGAACAATAGGTCGCGGTCACCGGTGACCGCTTGGTGTTTGACAGTTTAAAATTCACATCACTGTATCTTTTCAATTACAATTAATAGGGTAGTATCCTAAATTATTTTAAAACATTAGACACGATTTTTTTCTTTTCTTACAAAATTAAATACTTTCGACGATATATTGATCGGAAATATCTTAATGATGTGTAATGATTTACTACATTTTATACGGTTGCACTTGCATGACGTAACGACCTGCCGCTCCTAAACTTAACCCCTTTTCATCTAAGTATTGTTTTCTAATACGACAAAATAAAAAAATACATGTCTCATATTTTTTCATTGTCTAACTGACGAACTAATTACGTTTATACCCTATTATCGTCCGTTACTGGCGATATAAGACTATAATATATTTGGATCTCTTTGGAGAACAATAAAATGCTCTTATGTATCTCACCTCCATTCTGCACCATCTTTATCCCTTGCACCAGAGGTACTAGTAAGGGAGCATCCTTCTTCTTGTTAAACACTTTCTTCTTTCGCACCTCGTCTTCTATTGCAGCGTTCTTTCCATTGAAGTAGTACGTAGGAGTCTAGCAGTAGAGAAAATATAAAAAAGGTCATTTGAAATGCTGTCAAGGTTTTGCATTTAGCAATAAATCTGAAACTTAAAAGTGACGTCAAAGTGTCTGTCCCTATGGGTGGAATACATTATGTATGCTATGGGATAAGCCGGTAAAAGAGCAGACGGATCACCTGATTGTAAGCAATTGGCGTTGCCCATAGACACCAGAACATCAGAGCCGTTAAAAGTACGTTACCGGCCTTTTGGGGATTAGGAAGTTGAGGATTGTTGGGAATTCGGAGATTGATACATTATTATATCTAGAACTAAATTACATAGTTTTTAGAATCGTGTAAGTATTTAAAAAAACTCTATGATCCATGACTACAACTCCTTTGCTCTTTCGACACTCCATCAGCTAACGGTTTATGATTGAGGAGATAAAGAAGAAGAAGTTTCTAAAACTAAATAGTTACCTGCAACCAAGACCGGGTATATCCAATATCTTCATAGATCAGTTCCAGTGGACTCTCCAGCAGTTCCTTCAAGGAGTTGATGGAAGGTGGTGGGCCGTTCAACAACCAGCTGACCACGGAGCTGGTGTAGTAGTTGTATAAGAGTACACAGGAGAGACCAGTTACCAGGATTGTGGCTTTTCGAGCTAAGAGTAGAAAATGGAAACAGAAAAATGTTCCTTTAGTAATTTTTTCCTCTTGATAAGTGGACTTAGTTGACATCCGCCATTGCTAAAGGCCTCTTCTCACACAGAAAAGCTTTGTGCATTAATCGACACTCTTGTTCAAAGCGGTTTAGTAATTTCAAACTTTTGATTAGAATTTATAAGCTTAGGTGTCCTCACGATGTTTGCCTTCACCGTTTGTCAGTGGTGTCTAAATAATCTTAGAAAGTACATGTAACTCGGAAAAAGACACATTAGTACTTGCTGTTGGAAGTTTTCGAACCCGTACCTTCATGCATGAGAAGAGGGCGTGTTAAACCTCGGGGCCACCACGGATTACATACTACGTAATATTCAGAAAATCACAACACTGTACTGTCTCAGATTAAGACGTACTCTATGAAAAGAAATCAATAGTTGGTATTGTATGTATGCCTCAAATCTAATCATGGACAAAGTAATTTTTATAGATCATTACCGTACTCTATAAACAAAGTTCTTAACGTGAGGCCAAAACAAGGATTATCTCCAATCTGTTCTAGTTTGACGGCTTCAACATTTTCACGAAATCTCATCAACTATGGAAGTTACGAGAAAATCAATCAAACTACAAAAAGTAAGGTGTGGTTTAGCGCTAATTTCAAAACCTGACATGAATCTTGATTATGAGTTGACGTTGATAAGTTCGCGGTATCAAAGGAACTTAATCGAATGTCAGTCATTTTGCCTAATGGATGGCTTCTGGAAACTTTATCAGCAACGCCCACCAGTCATCAGATTACTAGATCATTTTAATACTGGAACATCATTTAATGATAATTTCTTTAAGTTTTCTTAAGTATAACTGTTTAGTACTTACCTGTTGAAATTCTCTTTGTTCCACCATCATCAATGTCTTGGAAGACTGTAAAATAAACAACTTTGTAAAGAATATCATATAAAATTCCAATAAAATTCCAACACCGCGAGTCGTAGATTATTTATAATGCAAATTGCATTGATAGTTCTACAGTTTGTCATGTCTTTGTGTAATGTAAGAAGTTCTATAATAACTTTTTTTATGGCATAAGCCGGTAAACGAGCATGCGGATCACTTGATGGTAAGCAATCGGCATTGCCCATGGACACCTGGAACACCAGAGGCGTTACAAGTGCGTAACCGGCTTTTGGGGATTAGGAGTTTGAGGATCGTTGGGGATTCAGGGATTGGGGGGATTGGGGAAGGGGAGGGTAATTAGGCCTCTAACTACTATTTTATATTGATTGTCCACGTATCTAATGTTAAAATAACAGAAAATTTAATAGTTAGTGTTTTTAATAAAATGAGACTATCTTATAAATTGTAGGTATAATTGTAAATACTAACTCATAAACCAATACATACATTGCTGACAAATAGAAGCCACGACAGAGAAGATAGCATACTGCACAGAAGATGGACGGTGTTCAAACAAAGCAGAGAGTAGCAGCAGTACAGCACATAATCCTGAGACTCCAATCACACTCCACCATGCTGTGGGGCTCAGGGGTCTGAGAAATTGGTTTTCGAACTTTCCAGGACCAATTGTGGGTATACGGTAGTAGTATCTAGTTCTGTATAAAGAAAAAAATGAATTTAGGTCAAAAATTATATCTTGTTACATAAATAATAATTTACGTTTTGTTTACTGCAAACAATGGTTCTTTGATAAACCAATTAGCAGATAAATAAAGTGTTTGACGAACAAATTTATAAATTACTGTACTCCAAATGTATTTATTCATAAGAACATAACATAACATAACATCACGCCTTTTTATCCTCGAAAGGGTAGGCAGAGGTGCACATTACGGCACTTAATGCCACTGTACAATCTAACACCCACTTTTCACTATTTATGTTATGAGTCTCATGTATAGGGGGGTTAGCTTATTGCCTATTCATAAGAATTGACTTAAAAAAAGGTAGATATCTCAAAAAAAACTATCAATCAATATAGATTTTGATTTAGTTGATAAGACAGCTTTTTTTTAAGGGGGGAAAATCATCGAATGTCTGCTCCCGCCTAGGTGAGGCGGGAGGGAGTGTCAGATTCTTACTGACTAAAAACCACCCCGTTTCTTCTCCTGCATTTAAAGCGGAACCCCGGTAACCCGTTAGGTTCTCCGCGACTGATAAGACAGCTTAATAAACCTTTTATTTTCTTTTATTCGTAGGTACTTACTCAATAGCCGTTAATGGGGGAAGTAGGACATCAGTTCTTTCTTGAACCAAGGCCATACGTATTACTGGTGACAGATCTTGCTCTCGGAAGTATAGAGTATTTGATACCACCTACAACAGAATATTGTTCAATACGTGTTCGGCTGTTCCTCAAGGACCGATATTAGGTCCAACTAACTAAATTACAGAGTTCAAATTTGTATGAAGGCAAACTAAAGGAAGTAGTTAGTAAATACTTACTCTAGTAGCATTGTTTTCGTACGTACCGATCCATCTATCAGTGAGGGTGGGAACATAGCTGGGAACATAAACTTTATTTGAATTATTTGCAAATTGACATTAACATAATCTCATTTTCATAACACCATTCTAACCATGCTTTTTTTAAGGAAGACTATCATCGAATGACTTATCCCACCTAGGTGAGGCGGGAGGGACTGTCAAACTCTTACTGACTAAAAACCACTCCGTTCCTACTTCCTTTCGAGCCGGAGCCCCGGTAACCCGTTAGGTTCTCCGCTCTAACCGTGTTTAGGAAGGTGTTTTGCAAGCGATTTCTAGGTCGAGGAGATAAGAAGATATTTTTGGGTTTTACTATAAGATTCAAAATTATTGCTTGAAGCACAAAAGAGTGATTGTAAGCTCACCTTGTACGTCCTGTGAACTCAAAACGTAAACGGAGAAAGTAAAATACTTAGCGAGTTATGCATAATATCTATAAATAATAATAATTATAAATTTTTAAGTATTTACCTTATGTTGTGCATCTTAGCGACTGCATATAGAACGGTGGCAGAGGTTTGTGTAATCATGGCGACCCCGGGAACTGTTTCCAGACCTAGTAACGATTCTGGGTCAAAATGATGAGGTACTGGTTGAACCTACAATGACAATTGCAAAGCTGATTTGAGCCTGTAAACATTTTTATTGGAATGTTTTCTTTTATTTGAACTTTTCTTAGTTTGATACTATTTTTAAATATTTATGTTTTTAAATGTCGGCGTTTTTAAGCCTTTTACTGCCAATAGAAAACTGATGAAGGTAAATCCTCCACTAACATCGGTCACCACGGCGTTTAATGTGTTAAGGTCGCGGCGATCAGTACCTAGGCTGCGCGACATCGCCGCGACCGCGCACGCCGCTCATGAGGAAGAACCCCTCTGTGGTTCGAAACTAGTACAGGTTTTCTAAGTATATTCACGTGAGTAAGCCCATATTTTTAGTTAATTTAGTATGTCTCATGATAGTTATTATTATTTTTTTAATGTTAAACTGTCAAACACCAAGCGGTCACCGGTGACCGCGACCTATTGTTCTTTAATTGTGTCTATAAAACCGGTACTCGACGAGTTAAATTCATTACTCAATATTTGGAAAAGAGTTTGGTAGTAGGAAATATTGGATAATATCTACAACTCTGTACACTTCCTATACAATAAACTGTCTTGATATTAACACACGTAACATACTTACAACTAAAATCATTTTCATGGAAATATTTTGGAAATCCCATCGCCTATAATATTTGTACTCGTTCAAATCTATACACAAATTAAAACCATTATCAGGATCCCAGGATCCGATTTCATGAATAATTAAATCGCCTCCTTGTACTTTGCCAAAATTATACACTTCTTGGAGTATGTATTTTGTGTCTTCTGAAATAATAATATAAAGATTATGTTTATTCCTTCTTGTTCTAATGATTACACGACTGTATTGATATTTTCTAACTTTAGTTAGATTTCTTAAACCATCTTCTAATTTTATATCAAACTAGCTAATGCTGTGCGGTTTGGCCCGCACTGTTCGAGGCCTATCGATCGTAGCGTGATATTTCATAACCTATTGCCTTCCTCGATAAATAGAACTCTATCCAACCTAATTTTTTTTCAAATCGGACCAGTGGTTTCTGAGATTTGCACGTTCAAACAAACAAACAGTTCTTCAGCTTTATATAAATCTATATACACACATATATATAAAAAAATTAATCCCTTTTTCCCTTGGTCACGACATCACGCGTTTTTGTTGCATTTGTTATTATTAAGAGAAGGTTCTTGTGGCTTAAAAATGGCAGAAAACGGTATTGAGCGTACGAAGTCGCTGGCATATAAGATACAAATTATCTATTCTGTCAAAGCTTGTATCTCTTCTTCTATTATATTAATAATTTCGTCAAGGGGTACGGTAGACTCGATTGAAACATTACCGAATACCAAAACATAAAATAATTCGATTTCGAGTCGACAAAATATATCCGCAAAATTCGGATTACGGAAATTATTTCGTTTTATTAATTTATTTTAATGATGACATTGAGTGACAAACCGCAGTCGCCATCTTGAGTAGACAATAAATGTTCCGTTTCATACTAGCTCTCAAACACGCCTCGCCAATCAACACGTCGTCGTGTCAAAAAAGTATAAATTAACAAGAAAAATGAATAATTTCACGCTAACGAAGTTGCGGATACAACAGCTAGCAAAAGTTATATTACCCAAAGCCAATATACCTGATAAATGAACTACACCTAGTTTCTTCTTTCGAAGTGAAGCAGATACTTCTTCTTAGTACTTATCGATAAGATCTTAAGTACCACTTTCACACGTCGTTAGTTACTGAGATCCTGAGATAAAACTGAACTTCTAATGATAATCTTTTTTCTTTGGAACATTCTCTTAATTGTTCCCTCTACTTTAATGGTTTGGCGGGATTGGGTGTCCATTATTTTGAAATTGATAGTGCGCCAACGAAGCAAGATGTTTTCTATCAGATGTGTCCTATGATTATAGGGATTTTTTTTATTTTTTATTAGGACAAGCCCGCCACAACCTCCCAAAACCGCTGTAACTCCTGTTAGCCAGGATCTACAATAGATACAACCATGAAAACACCGCAACATTGAAGTCCGGCGCGTCCCAGGGACATGAGTAACTGTTTTGGTTCCCGCATCGAAGTGAATCAGAAGATATTATAAGAAGAGAAGAAGAAAAATGATTATAGGGATTCCCGAGTCAGGCAAAAATTGGTCATCGATTTATTGTATTTAAATAGTCTGAGATATGTTTTTAGGCATAACACACATATTGAGGTAGTACACCGTGCGAGAATTGAACCTGCAACAGCTCTAAAAATGTGAAAATGAACATAACATCACGCTTTTTATCCCCGAAGGGCTAGGCAGAGGTGCACATTACGCCACTGTACAATGTAACACCCAATTTTCACAATTTATGTTATGAGTCCCATGTAATAGGGGGTGAGCCTATTGTCATATACCGGGCACAATTCCAGACTCCGTGCTACTACTGAGATTTTTTTTAAACCCCGATTGAACCCGAGATCCCTTGCCCGGCAGTCGCACTTGCGACCACTCGGCCAACGAGGCAGTCACTTGAAAGATCTACTTCTTTATAAGTCATAAGAAAACTTAATTATTCTATAAAACTGCTATTCTAAGCAAACTGCGTCACAAAGTTATTGTACAATAATATCGAGTAAATACAGGATACGAACCATACTAGTGCAGGAAATAAGATGCCTGCTTTGAACGGCAGGATGACGTCATTTCCTATCTTTTATACTGTCACTTCCTAGGTATTTCAGTGGTGAGTTTAGATTTAGTATTGGTTCAAACTAGTTTTATTGAGAAAAAATGGCTTAGTATAAAAACTACTTAAATATAGCTTTTTTTAAAACGTTGCTACACACTAGGACTTTTCCTGTGTCGTTGGTGCGTTTACAAACATACATGTTCACATACACAATGACACCCAGACCCGAAACAACAATTTGTGGATCACACAAAGTGTTGTCCCGTGCGGGAATCGAACCCGCGACACGTTGCACGGCAGCCGGTTGCCCAGCCACCGCACCAACCGTGCAGTCAAATAAAAGTTTAAGTAGAAATTAGCTACAAGTTCTATCCTTTTTTTTTGTAGATTCACTCACAAGTGATATGTGATATTTTATACCAGTGCGTTAACCTTTAACCCCTCGAGCGTCCTTATGAGCACCCGGTGGACCATAAAAAAAAATGCTCCATGCTGCTTTCTCTTTTATAAAATCTATTATTAATGTTTTGTTTTTATTTTGACTGTATTTGTTTTATTTCTATTGTTATGATCCTTGTTTTTGTGTGCCAATGGCCAAATAAATGCATTTTCTTGCATGCGTAAGGATAAGGAAATGTATAAGGAACGCGGACGCTCGACGGGTTCAAAGTCAAAATCATTTATTTCAATTAGACCAGGAAGGCACTTTTGAACGTCACAACAAAATATTTAAATATTAAATAATAAGAAAAAAAAATGGCAGTCTGTAGGTCAGTCCTCTAGTGAAGCTATTTGCTCGTTCCAAAGTGTAGATTCCTATGGAGAAGAACGAGCAAGAAACTCCATAGGTCACTCTTTTTCAATCATGTTCACAATACAATTTTTGGTTACATTCTTTCGTTGAGTTCAATAATGTGAGAACAATGTAATACCAATATTTGGTCAAGGAGACGGAAAAAGAAAATAACCTCGAGGACAACAAATTTAATACAGTCTGGAGCTGACCAGTCCCATTTGACAGCGCCCGTTAAATTAAATATAAGGTTAAATATCATACCTCTATAAGCCGTCACAATATCAGCATCCACGCTGATATTCAAATGCTGAAGCATTTCAATCAAGCTCCCATTACCACAGCCAGTCATGATCACGTCGGACTCAGTGTCGTAAGTATCATTACACCATGTATAAGCTTCGTCATCGTCTATAAGGAGCCATTTGTGATTTGAGTCCAACCATATTATGTTTTGGGAAGCCTGTAGATTGAACTATGTTTTTTTATGGAATAGGAGGCAAACGAATAGACGGATCACCTGATATGGTAAGCGATCAGCGCCGCCCGTGGACACCCGCAACACCAGAGGAGTCACAGGTGCGTTGCCGGTCTTTTAAAAGGGAATACGCTCTTTTTTTGAAGGTTTGAAGGTCGGAACTATGTTGAATTGCGGTTTCTAGTTTGACTATCCAGGGGGAGATTATGGCAAACCCTCTTATTTAGGGGCTGCCTTATAGTCAGCAACCGCAATGTCTAGCGGTTGGCTCTGGTCTTATGAGATATTTTTAGACATACATAACATAACATCACGCCTTTTATCCCCGAAGGGGTAGGCAGAGGTGCACATTACGGGACTTAATGCCACACTGTATGTTATGAGTCCCATGTAATAGGGGGTGAGCCTATTGCCATATATCGGACACAATTCCAGACTCCGTGCTACTACTGTGATTTTTTTAAACCCCAGTAATACTTTGCCCGACCCGGGAATCGACAACGTACAAGAATGTATAGTATCACTACCTTGTTCTTAGACTAAAATGACTCTAATTTAAGTTGAATGAAGTATGAATTTTCAATAAACATAAACGTGTACTCACAAAGTTCATAACATCCTCAGTGCTTCCACAATCAGCATCTACGATAACGCCAATAGGGTGCAATTTCCTTTGCAAGCAATTCTCGACTCTATTGTAATCTATCACAGAGCTGTCTATTGACACGCCTGATATCGCCATAGAGAGATTTTGTGACGCCTTTGAGTATTGAACAGTCCCTAAAAATAGAATGTGTTGATTGTAAAATAGTGGTAGGCACGGCTACACATCGAGCTTTACATAACCAGTATAAACTGAACGTTAAATGTGCGGAAAGATGATGCGACGCGACACCAGGATAAACTGGTTTTTTATAGATTGATGTGTGGCCGTGTGTACTAACGACTTTTTTAAACTATAGCAGATAAGTTCACCTTAAACTTCGAAACATTGAATTTACTTTGAAGCATACGTACAAAAGTATTTTATATTTGAGTTATAATGTAATAATCACTGTAAAATTTAAACCAGGCATATGTATTGTGTGCTGAAGGGTACGTTGTCATTTACGATATCGTTCTAGTTAAAGCTTTTACAAACAAGGTTAAATTTTTGAACACAGTTTTTATATTTTATTAAATAAACTGATGGTAACCGGCGCCGCCCATGGACACCCGAAACACCAAAGGTGTTACAAATGCGTTACCTGACTTTTGGAGATTAGAAATTTGAAGATTGTTGGGGATTCGAAGATTGGGTGGGTAAGTGGGCCTCCGGTAACCTCACTCACACGACTCAACGCAACGAAAGTATTGTTTCATGCCGGTTTTCTGCTCGGCCGTGGTATTGCTCTCCCACACTTAAAAGTTTGACTATTTTTTACATTTGGGTTACATATACTATGATCCCATCGGATCATAGCTGCCTAAATTTCCAGACTCAAAAGCCTAAAATTATCCTAAATGAAACTGTGTAAAATCAATGTAAAATTACTGAAAATTATATTACTTACAACTGAAATCTTTATCACATGTCATAATACAAATAAACTTCAACCCTCTGTACTGAAAGTACTCAATCCCAAACTGGAGAGCATCTTGACTTAAACCCACTATGACGTGAACCAGTATCGACGTCAGCACAGCTTGACATAACATCTTGATATTATGCAACTGCTTAATGTGACTTGATGCGCTTTGCTTTGATTTTTATAGTACCTACTCTTTTTGCAGTACGGTCAGGTAAAAAGTAGTGTATGTAGATATTTCTTGGTCTTTTTTTTATTGTTACCTATGTCTCGTCCCAGACAAAAACTTTAACATAATTCAAATGATAACAAAATCTCTAAACGATTCTGGCATGGAAATAAACAAGCGTGATATTAGCAAAGCATTTAGAATTGGAAAGGCAAACAACGAGGCGCGCCCCATTTTAGTAAACTTCTTGAATATATGGAAAAGAAACGAGATTTTGAAAAACAAAAGTAGACTTCCTAAAAATATATTTGTTAATGAAGATTACAGCAAAGAAGTTTTGGAGAAGAGAAGGGAACTCGTATCTCAACTAAAAGAAGAGAGAAAAAAGGGACGTATAGCATACATAAAATATGATAAGCTGGTTGTAAAAGACACAGAAGGTGATATTCGAGACAAACGAAAGAGAGAACAATCTGATTCTCCAAATAAAATTAATAAAAACGATCGACCAAAATTAATAAAATAAATGCTTTTGAAAGAATGTACAGAAATAGATCCCACTCGACATCCGAGTTAAACAAAGAATAGCCATTAACAACACACATCGGTAACCGGAAGATCAGAACAAACCAAAGAAAAATATTTAACGAGACATCAAAAAACTTTATACCTCCCCCAAGCCGGCTGGTCCCCGTGGGGGATAGCGACCAATCCCTTCCAGCTAAAATATCTGAGAGAAATAATGGATCTAGTATAAAAACAAGAGTAAATGCCATAAAAAGAAATGAAAATAAAAAACTCTATATTGCCACTCTAAACTGCCTTACACTGAGAACCCAAGAGAGACTAATCGAATTAGAATCAGCACTCTCAAATATTAAATGGGATATATTAGGATTAAGCGAAGTTAGAAGGTTGGGAGAAAGCATTGAAGATCACAAAAATTTCATTTTATACTATAAAGGTGAAACAAAAGGCAGCTACGGAGTTGGTTTTATGGTTAAAAAATATCTAGAAAGAAACATAGAAGAGTTCAAGGGCATATCAGAGAGAATAGCAGTACTTAATATGCATATTCCAGCATACAAAAATAAATGGTCAATTGTTCAAGTCTACGCTCCCACGGAACAACATGAGGAATCGACCAAAGACCTTTTTTACAACCAGCTGTCATCAGTTCTACAAGAAACGCACAAAAATGTTATGGTAATAGGAGATTTTAATGGTAGAATAGGAACGCAGCGAGCGGGAGAGGACAAAGTAATTGGCAATTTCGGTTTTGGTAGAAGAAGCAAAAACGGAGAGAGAATGATTAACATGGCCTTTGAAAATAACCTTGCTTTTATGAATAGCTTTTTCATCAAAAATAGAAAGAAAAAATGGACATGGCAATCACCAGATGGATCTTATAAAAATGAAATAGATTATATAGCAACTAACAACAGGAAGCTGTTTCAGAACTTAGATATTCTCAGTCAATTTAATTTTAACACCAACCATAGGATGGTCAGAGCTGTAATAAATAGTAAGGAACCGAAAAAGAGTAGAAGTAAATTTAACGTACAAATTCATAGTATAAAACATCAAACAGAGGAAAAACACAAGACAATGAACTATTATGATAATGAAATAAACAGAATATTTGGATTAGCACACACGAAACTAATGAAACCTAAGACAAGTCATATAGAAAAGGAAACTAAAGCTCTAATAGAAGAAAGAAAGCTACTTTTAAAATCTAAAAGAGACAAACATAACTTAAAAGCTATTTCAGAAATAAGTAAAAAAATAAGTAACAGTATTAAAAAAGATAGAACTAAAAAAAGAATAAACACCATCAACTACCACATAAAAAAGACGGGAGGAGTCAAAAAGGCTTTGAAAGAACTTATAGACTCAAAAAAATGGATACCTAACATGAAAAATAAAATTGGAAAACCGGAGACAAAAAGAAGAAACATAATTCAAATAGCGACTGATTTTTACAGGAAACTTTATGCAGAAGAACCCAATCTCAAGAAAGGGACCATAAATTGTGAAGACGACGACACGGAAGATATACCGTACTTCCTACAATCAGAAATAGAAAAAGCAATACAGAGCCAAAAAAACGATAAAGCACCTGGACCAGATCAGATAACAAATGAAATGCTAAAAGTTGCAATAACGATACCTGAAAATCTAAAGAAACTCACAGACGTATATAATACTATCCTGGGAACAGAGATCATACCACCGCAATGGACTAAGAGTACAATAATTCTGTTACACAAGAAAGGAGATAGGGACAACATAGAGAACTATAGACCTATAAGCTTAATGTCCAACATATACAAAGTCTTTTCTAAATTGATCCTAAACAGACTTACAGGGCTACTTGACCTGCAACAACCCATGGAGCAAGCAGGATTCAGAGCAGGATTTTCTACAATTGACCACATGCATGTCCTAAATCAGCTGATAGAAAAATGCGCAGAATATGGTAAAACCTTATACATTGCATTTGTGGATTATAGCAAAGCATTTGATTCAATACACCACGACTCGCTGTGGAAGGCTTTAGTTGAACAGGGGGTTCCTAAAAATACATACGCGTTATAAAAAATATATATCAGAAAACTACTGCACAAATAAAATTAGAAACAATCGGTGAAGAATTCCGAATAGCTAAAGGTGTAAGGCAAGGAGACCCTTTATCTCCAAAGCTCTTTTCTGCAATCTTAGAAAGTGTATTCAGGGATCTGGAGTGGGAAAACTTCGGTATAAGTATAGACGGCAAAAACCTCAACCACTTGAGATTTGCGGATGACCTAGTCCTGATCACTGACAACGCAACTACACTTCAACATATGCTGCAACAGTTGTCGGAGGCGAGTAGAAAAGTAGGTCTCACTATGAATCTATCTAAAACAAAGTTAATGACAAACAGGGAAGAAAAAGTTGTAACTTTGGATGACGCAAGTATGGAATATGTGAGGACTTATACATACCTAGGACAACTAATTGTGTTTAGAAACCAAACAAAAAATGAAATCGACAGAAGAGTAGCTAATGCATGGAATCGTTATTGGTCACTTAAGGAGGTACTTAAAAGCAAACACTTCCCCATGATAGCAAAGAAAAAAGTGTTCGACTCGTGTGTCTTACCATGCCTGACATATGGATGCCAAACTTGGGCACTGAACCAAAAACATCTCCTAGCACTCAGAACATGTCAGAGGGGCATGGAAAGAAGCATGTTAGGAGTTAGAAAAATGGATCGCATACGATCAGAAGATATACGATCCATAACAAAGGTAGAAGATATAATAAAGAAAGTAAGGCAATTAAAATGGAGATGGACAGGACATATGACGAGAGATAGCAAAACAAAATGGACTAAAATTATAACGGAGTGGCAACCACGAGATGGTAAACGAAAGAGAGGCAGACAGGTAAAAAGATGGATGGACGACATAAAAAAGGTCGCTGAGAATACCTGGCCAAGGAAAGCCAGAGACAGGGAAGTGTGGAAACAGCTGGAAGAGGCCTATGTGTCACAGGACACGCTGATCACTAAACCGAAACTGATGTGTTAGTTTATAAGTTAGTTTAATTATTACTTTTGTTATTTTAGTTTAGTTCAGCAATAAAGGCTTATTATTATTATTATGTCTCGTTGGTAGTGTCCTGATCCATGTGGTTTTTGGTGCCGCGTCTGATTTTTTCAATTAGGATTCTTTTGAGAAAGTACGAACAGCTTTTTTTTGAGTGATAGTCTTATTCCCATTGAGATTGATTTTGAGAGGTTTTGATCCCTCAAAATTTTTTTGTCACTTTGATGTCACTCCTTTGAAAACTATCCCAGGTTTTATGAATGTATTACTTTGTATTGTAAACCTGATTGAAAAAGAGTAACCTATGGAGTTTCTTGCTCGTTCTTCTCCATAGGAATCTACACCTTGGAATGAGCAACTAGCTTCACTTCTAAATTTTGGTTGTTGACGTTCAAAATGGTCAAATTGGTCTGGTCTAATTGAAATAAATGATTTTGACTTTGACTTGACTTTGAGTGTCTTTATTAATCGTATGAGTTTTATCTATCAGCAAACAAAAGTCTATTACAAAGTAAAGGGTTTTCATGGAAACGTACATTTTTTTATCCTTTATCTTCGCAACAGTATCTTTGAAATGCCAATACTGTGAACTAAAAACTCGTGTTCAATTAATTCTCCGTGAGATTTAGCAGTAAATTGGAAAGTAAACAAATTCCTGTAGGAATTATAGTACGTAGATATTTCTGCTTCATCTCGATGTAAAGTTAAATAAGGAAAGATTATGACGTATTTTTGTGTGGTGAGGATGATGATGATACAGTGGCTGAATGAACGAATTCACAATTTGTAATATTTGTAACTGCTGAACTTTCTTTTTTAAATACATTGCTCCACATTAGGATTTTCTCCTGTGTCTTGGGTGCGTTTACAAACATACAAGTTCACAGTGACACCCAGACCCGAAACAACTATTTGTGGATCACACATAGTGTTGTTCCGGGCGGGAATTGAACCCGCGACACGTTGCACGGCAGCCGGTTGCCCAGCCACCACACCAACCGTCCCATCAGTGCACAACTGGTCCCATTTCACCGCAAACTTGGGATATGAACATGTATCCATAAGTACTTATAACTTAACCCTTATAATCGTGTATAATCTTTACATGTCACTGGTTTTTAACGTGTAAAACAATTTTTTTTCTTTCTTTTTTGTACACAGTTTTACTCAAATAACGCCATCATCACTCAGGATTTTTTTTAAGGCGGGAAAATCATCGAATTACTGCCCCCGCCTAGGTGAGGCGGGAGGGAGTGTCAGACTCTTACTGACTAAAACCCACCCTGTTCCTTCTCCTGCACGTCGAGCCGGAGCTCCGGTTACCCGTTAGGTTCTCTCAGGTTAAGAGGCAAAAATAGTACCCAC